ATTTTCTATTACAAGTACAACAAGAACAATAAGTGGCGTTCCCATCTTGGATAATGATTGATTGATTGATTTAAGTACATTTCAAGCACCTAAGTTATTCAATCATAGTTTTTTTACCTAATATGTTGTTTTCAGAGGCTGAGGATAGGTTTTGGGAAAACCCCAAAAGATACAACTTTTTTCGTAATTTTGTATTATTTAGTGATGAGTAACATATTAATGCATAGAATAATACGAACATAGAATAATACGTTTAAAGTTTCAAAATTATTCAAGAAAGAATCCTAATACAAGTTAAAGAATAATCAAGACTCATTAATCACCAACAAATTTTCATAAAACAATATATTCAACAAATAGTAGACAACCGAATGTTTCACTTTAGACTGAACATACAAATTTTGTTTCCTCGGAACATTGAATGCCGTGAGAAATTTACACATCCTATGTTACGGCAAACATAGCTTGGGAATTAAAATACATTGCCATGGTTGATACACTTCAACTTTGACCTTTCCGAGGTTCAGGTTCTTAAATTAATTTAGTGTTCGTGGCGGGTGGTAGATTGGGTCATCAGCATTAACAAACTCGTGGCATTTTTAGCCGCAAGACGAATGATGCCATCAAAAGTGAACATGATTAATCACACCTGTTTTAAGCGTTTTCATCAATCCGTCATTGTCTCTAAAGTTTCGGTACACAGTAATGTAGTGAAATTTGGTTACAAAATTAATTTCCACCCAACTCGCTACCTCCGTAATTACAAAAATGTTGATCTTCGCAAAGTGAAATATGAGCATGTTTAGACCTTATTGTTTTATCATGTTGTACTAACATAAACGTGATGCAGTTTCACATAGTTTTACAAGCTATGTAAACATAAATAAATTAAACTTAGATATAAATGATAAAGTGTGAAGAAGGTTAATACATAAATTTGAACCATGAAATATTGGAGGCTGCTGCACCTATCCCGTAATTGAAATGGTTTCCAATTCCACAACATGAATAAAGTATAACTCCAATACTAAGATTAACACAAACAATAAATGGTCTGCAAGTTTATTTAAACATTTTTCGTTGAATGTAACCATAAATCAATGTAAGATGAAAAAATGTAAACAGACTTAAGACCTAATGAGTAATACGTTAGTAATGGTAATCCATGTATCTTTTATATATTTGATAGACCAAGATGATTTTTTGTATGATTGGTTTGAAACTGTCATGCAACCTTTTACCGTGTCCAAGGTGTCGTTGGATAGGTAAAGGAAAGTAGATTTTCCATAAAATAAAAACTGTTTGAATTCCGTCAGTGCTCTGTCATAGTGCCTTCTAAGTTCTAACGTTGTCCTTATGGACACAATATTTGTTGTAAATTCAATTTCTCGTGAGCAAAGTCACGATGATATACCTACTCGCACCTAAAAAATCACCGCTGCCCCATCACATGCAATCGCACTGAATTGCTTTAAATCCCAGCGCATTGCATATTATTGCGTTAAAGTGCATCACATTACGTAAATGTGCATACAATTATGTCGTATTCCAATGCTTTGCTTCGTTTTGCATATCAATGTGTTGATATGATTTGAATTGTATTGACGAATAAGTGTGAGTGGATTAGATTAACATTAAATTAAATCTACGCATTATAGCTATTTTATTATGATATTTTAAGCCAAAGTGCCAGCAATAGGAGTTTACGGTACGAGCATCATAGCTCGTGCGGAAGTACGAGGAAGAGACTACTAACACTTTCTCATGCGAGTCGCGTACTTTTCACTGCACTTCCAGCATCAAATATACATAGTATATAATTACACATCGTATACATATAGTCACAGCATTCTTTAATATACGCTACAATGTAACCATAGCCTCCTCTTAATACAATGTTTTAACATAATTTTGAACTCTTAATAAATGGCAACGTTCGTATATTTTTCTATTATTTATTGTGAAAATGAAATGTGACTTACAATTCTGTCTGGTCGTTATTGTGTACCTTTGTTGAGGGTCCACTGAAGTAACACATAATATAATTTTTTTTTAAGTAATTCTTAACATTTGTCATGTAAATTTACCCAACCGGGCTGATTTGACCAATCTCTTTTTGCAAATAACGACTTTCTGGTCTCAGCATGAAAAAAAAACTTGCTGTTTACAATTTATTGTGTAAAAAAATTATTTTTCCTACAGTCACCCGACAAAGTTGACTTCCTTGTACTGTTTATAGTACAGAAAGCTACTAATTGCTGCATATTTATACTTTGCCGTACGGTTTATACTTTGCCGTACGGTTTATACTTTGCCGCACATCAGGATTCCAACGAAACAACACAAAACAGCGTGGTTCTATTATGCACGTAATCCGTGTACGCTTGGAAATAGGTTGGCAACACTTAAAGATAATAATACTATGAGCAGCTGATTGACTATTATAACTACGATTTAACCTGTCATTTCGTGTTTATAGTTTCGGTATTTCTGAACTTACTGGACTTTTCTTTTAAAAGTTTTTAAAACATTCCTACGATCGTAATAAACAAGAAAATGACTTTAAAGCATTTTTTTAGGCGCGGAAACCACTTAAAATTACAACAACATACGGAACTATATTCTCAAAACGCGAAGCACTTTTCTTGCCGATGAAAAATAGCGGAGTGATACGGACCGCGGGTTCTACTTTTATTAGGGCACCATTTGTGTTGCCAGCTGAACCTAAAAACGTGTTATAGTGTTTGAAAGACTAATTATGTATATGCTTTATAGTGACTGTAGGAAACATATAATGTGTAACACGAGTGAAAAAGGCCTTTGCTGCACTCGAGATCATTCCGCACTCGCCTGCGGCTCGTGCGTAAACATTGCTCTCGTGTGCAGCAAAGTGCCACTTTCACCACTAGTTACACAAATAACTATTCCATCACTTGGGCGTAAAGTGAATCTTTTCTACCGGAGTTCAAGTTTCAGAAAATGAGTGAGGGTTGAAAGGATACTGGCAAACCAGTATGATGAAATATATTTTCGTCATATTGCAAAATTGTTCAAGAAAACTCAAGTACAAATCGAAAATACTTCTCATATAAAGTAATACTCTTAAAGCGACTTTCAACTAGTTTTTTTTTTATTTCGTTAGCAAACAAGAAGCCTTAGTAAGTGATTCATAATTTTCGTATTTTACGATTGTGTTAGTGTACATACTAATATCGATATGTCTAATTATTGACAAGAGTGTAACAATAAGCTAAAACCGATGACAATTAATGAAACCCGATACAGGCGAAGTATATGACACCCAACGTAGTTGATGATACAACTAAGTTTATGACAGGAAAATATGACAATCGATAATGTTGAGTCCTCAACTCAAACCGAATTGTTTATATCCACACCGATACAAAAGTACGCATAATCATTTATTCAAAATAGAAAAATTGACCACTAATTTAGTATTTTAGGTTAGGTTCGGACTATGTTAACGGAAAAGGTATGTAAACATAGTCCCAACCTAACCTAACCTAATAATATACTAATTAGTGGTAGTGAATTAACGGAAAAGGTCCGAGAAATCCAACAAAATATACAAGTAAACCAACGAACTCTTTCATTTGACAGTATTTCTAAACAAAAGCTTGAACAATCGCGTGGCGAGATCGTTATGAAGTGGAAGCGACAGCACTCGCTGCAGTGTATAACGATACAGACTGTGTAGTGTATAACGTGCGTCGTGTCAGGGGTTGCCTCAGAAGGGTCTCGTTAAGTCTTCTCGTGGATTTAATGAGACCAGGTGAAGATCTCTGAGAGCCGTCAACCTCTCCACTCTCCTCACTGCGGGACTTGACACTGCTAATTAAACTGTTACCTTGTACCACTCCACACGTAACACACTTGGTTTGATTGAGTTTTTGCATTTTTATATTAATATTTGGTTGGATTAAAGTTTTGAAAAAAATATTTTTTACATCGTCTAGATAGACTTAACAGCGTTAAGAGTCTTTGGAACATAGGCGATCTAACTTGCAAAACAATTAAAAAACTACAAAGACAATTTCTAATCACATAGTTTATTAGAAATTTTATTTGGAATGACTCTGGTGGTTGAGAAAATCTTTTGAGATGGTAAATAACTCTTCAGTGGCTGTTTGAAACTATCGAAATTGACATTGGTCTTATGGCAGGTCATGATGGCCATTATGACCATGATAGCAGTTAGCTTCTATAGACTCCCTTGGAGAACAAATCAAAACTTTCCAATCTAACAGTTTACTAGTTTGAACAATATAGTTTTGGACTATAAATAAATCTTCAGTGGCTGTTTGAAATTATCCAAGATAAGCTGTACTATATACTTTAGTTGAAGTTGTCGGTGTTTAGATCGTGCCACGCATCTATTTTATATCAGAACCAGTTCGCATTTCCGTAACTCTATAACGTTGCTGTAAGCCAAAAACATTAGTTACAGTAGTTATATCTTGCACTTAAATTTAAAAAAATAGGTTTACGTACCTTACTTTGTCAATCCTAATGTAATCTCGGAGACAAGTTTTGAAACAGCTGTTTCATTTTCGAACCCATTTCGTCTGACATAAAATTATTTCAATACAACTTCGTCGTAAATATACACAAATTTAATATTTCAGACACACGAAGAACACGGATACACTGGTTTACGGCTACATTACGCACGACTACGGACACGACTCAACTACTCGACGCCCGTCTAGAGACATTGAAAAAAATTAGTTTCTGCTACAAACATGATTAATTTACTTGTTAGCAATACCATGGCTTAAGTCATTCTCAAAGGCGTAAAAAACAAAATGTATACAGATAAACAATAATTTTATGTAGGTAAAAATTAACGGTTGAGTAGTACTTATAAATCGTTACTTGTTATTGTACTTTCATTGCGTTTATCAACACTACTTTAAACACCTCTTAAAGTATGCTTACATCTAAACTCTTAATTTTATTCTGTTACTTCAATTTTCCAGGATACGACAGGAGCTGAACGGCGGCGCCTGGTGCCCGAAGGCGCAGATCAGCAGCACGATCAGAGAGTACCTAGAGGTGGACCTGGTGAAGAACCATCTGATCACTTGGACAGAAACCCAGGGGAGGTTCGGGAATGGCCAGGGACAGGAATACGCGGAGGCTTACCTGGTGGAGTATTGGAGGGACTCCCTACAGCAATGGGTCGTGTACAAAGACACTAGGGGAGAAAAGGTGTGTTGCTATAGTCTGTATGATAGACCATGTCTCCTGATGTGTCTATCTGGGGACTGAACTGGGCCAACCCTAAGTAGACGAGGGTCAGTAGAAAGTGTCTACGTGTCTAATTTTTACGTGTCTCAGACTTTGGTGCATGATTTAATACTTGATATTTCCACAAAACTTTCAGGGTTCAGACTTTTTTCTCCCTTTACGGTAATTGAAATATAAATGTTACTTCCGTACACACTCATGAACAAAATGCTAGCATGCACTCCTAATATTTACATGTGCACGCTGGTTTAGTGGTAGAGCATGGGACTTCAGTCCCATAGATCATGGGTTCAATTCCTACAAATCGCCTAAGGATTTTATTTAAGTGATAATGCCGCAACCTCAATGCCTTATACGCACATTTACCGTATATAAAACCATTATAGAGAACGATATTACTAAGTTTTTTTTTTATATGAGATGCTGCTAGTTACACACAATTTAATTTCATAGTACGCGACATGACCATGTTTAATAAGTAAATCTTAGATAATAATAGTAATAGTTATAGATAGTAATTATTATTATAGTAATAGTAATAATTATTATAGTAATAGTAATAGATTAGATAGTAATAGTTAGACGTCTTAGTTTACATTCAAAACAACAGCCTTACAACGTTTAAATGTTAGCATACATTATCCAATACACTAATTTATTAAAATCCTTTCTTGTCGGGTATCAACTCAGTAAAATCATGGATCAGTTTGAATTTGTTGAAAATGGTAAGTAAATTTTAAAATGTTAACCACACTTCCATATATACTTCGGAAATCCCAAACCACCTAATGGTTTTGTGGAGTTTTTGTGTTCTGGGTTACTTAAATTATATATAAAATCTCTAATGTATCAAATAAAAACCAAACATACAGAAGAAAAGTATGTTATTAGTCAGTATTTCACAATATTTACCTCATATTGCTAGGGCTCATGTGTGCTACATTATATTATTTCATTTATTTTATTTCAAAATAAATTCCTTTCAATATTTTAATTTTGTATGAATAAAAATAAATTGCTCCTAAGTACTGTAAAGACGAACTATCCCAGCCATATTTTTTTCATTTTATCTGTTCATATAAATAAATGGTAAATGGTGGTGGTAGTGGATAAATGGTATTGATCTTAAAATCGGAATGTAAAAAACAGAAGTTTAAAAAAAGATTAGTTGTTAAATAAAGCTTCAAGTTATTTTTTGTTTATTATTTTCATGTTAAATACATACAAATTTTGGATTTTAATAGGCATGCACTGTGGATGCGATGCTCCTTGGTGTGGATGAACGTCCGCACAAGTGAGTACTACGACTATCCGCAGTACTATCCTGATTAATTAGACCAATTCGTTTATTACAAGGAAAAGATTTGGTTCGGATTCCACTATAAACTGTAGGTCCCTTAGTTGTTATTTGTTGTATGGGTATTAATGAACAGCTGTGTCTAAGGAAGATGTCGGCCTTAGTCACTAACAAGACTGCAAGATCGTTCCACTCATCCTACACTCATCCTTCACTCATATTTGGGTTAAAATACTCACATAGTTTCATTTTCAAGAGTTGTTATCCTCCGGATTACGTTTGAATATGTATAATGGTTTAAATACCTGCATTCAGTAATCCAAAATGTTGCTTGTGGCAACTATAGTTTCAATTTAAGGGAATCATCTTCAAGCCGTAAGGAGATGAATAACGACGCCTTGTACGGCCTGAAGATGATTCCCTGTGAATCGAAACTATAGTTGCCACAATCAACATTTTGGATTACTGAATGCAGGTATTTAAACCATTATAAATACTCACATAGTGGCTTCCCCATCTTAAATAATTGATATAATGGATATACTTACCTACTGCTTTTCTTTCAGGTACTGGCTGGGAACAGCAACACCTACCTGGTTGTGAAGCAGCCCCTGGAACTGCCCTTTGTCGCAAGCAGAGTCAGGTTCATCCCCTACAGTGAGCATCCTCGCACTGTCTGCATGAGGGTGGAACTGTACGGGTGTCCATGGGAACGTAAGTTGTGAATTGTGTGATTAACCACCATAGTTTTGCCCGTTTACAATCATACTCTCTGAAATATGAAATATTGCGTCATATTTGTAATAGAGCGTGGGAACTAATTGATTAGTTCAATAACGGTTTATAATATTAATGGAAAGTGATTTTATAGTTATTGAAGTATCTCAGTTCTTTCACTTCTAGCTTGTATATATTTAATAAATACCATGTAAATGGCTACGTATGTGCGTTAGTAGATATTTCCAAAATACAGTGACCTAGACACGCCTTTTACAATATAAAGATGAAACAAGTTTCAAAAACAACAAATTTAGGTCACGGAACAGCCAATGGAATATACTTGTCTGTGGCTATGGTCTTTGACAGTCTGACTAGGCTATTAATGTCCTTACACTGGCAATAGCTCAATGGTTACTATTTATAACTACCAAAAAGGGGAAAGAGATATTCAACAAAACACACTCTGCAAGATGATTCATCAACTAGTAGACTGTAAATCTAAAACCTAGTCGGCTGCAAATCTTGAACTTAGCAAGCTGCAAATCTGAAAGATAAAATATCTACCTCACTATCCAAATTGTATATCTTTGACTCTTGATGTTATTTGCAGAATCAGTAGTCAGCTACATGGCCCCCAAGGGAGACTCAGAGTTCGAAGACCTGAGCTACGACGGCTACCTAGACGGGGTGACTATGAGAGGAGGGCTGGGACAGTTGGTGGATGGCGTGTTGGGCTCTGAAGACTTCCTGGACGAAACTTCTACAGGTCAGTCGAGCAAATATGTTAAAACAAAGCATGATTGTTATATCATATGATGAAGTTAGCATCCTCTGAGTTTTTGGACGAAAATTTTATTTTCTTATTCTTCTTCAAAATTTTATAATAGAACGTTATGACTCACATACACTAGGCCCACTCAAACTAGTAGTTTATAAAATGGCCAGGATTACAATTTGGAGTGTGCGTTCAGTTGTTATATACATGATAAGTTAATTGGACGAATGATTAAACAATACTGGCATCCTATTTCCCTTTAACAATGATAGATTAAACTATCTAAGTATAAGGTTTCTGCACAAAAATATATTGTACGATTGAAAGTGTACATTTGCTTAATTTGAACTTGAAAATAAATCAAATAAAATTCTATTTATCTATTTTATCTATTATATATTATAAAAAGACAACAATATAAGTAAAACTAACAATCCCCCTGAATTACTACAGTATAAACATGTTGTGACATATGCAAGCACTATATCAATGTGTATGTACACTTTAAAAAAAGATCTTAACAACTACATTGAACGCTTCTAGACATACGATCTATTTAACCGGGACTTACTAAAATATATTGTTAAACCTAAATTTTAAATTATAAATTCAATAAATAATTCATATTTCGTGTATCCAAATGTATTACAACATGTTTAAAGCAATTTACACACAATGAGTAGTAGCTTTTACGAATATAAATTACCTATATGAATTTTACGTGATAATGTATTTTTATTTAACTAGACAATAGTTATGTATTTCTGGTGTTATCCAATTAACTGTGCATTATTATAATTTTGTATTAAACGAATTCAACAGCGATAAAAGTTTGAAAATAATATTCTAAATGTATGTATTGGTGTCTAGGCAGCAGATGGGTCGGTTGGTTGAACGATTCCCAGGACAGCGAACCATTGGAAATCATTTTTGAGTTTGACGGCGTTCGAGAGTTTTCTGCGATGCATTTACATACAAGCCACGTTGTCACTAGGGATGTACAGGTAAGCCCACAGCAAATGTTACTTTTTTCAATTAAAATAATTTTTATCATTACATAAAAAAAGAAAGTGGTTCACGAGATAAAGATTATGACTAAATGTAGTGTAAGTGGAATTGAAATTGGTGTTTAGATGCAACAAGAGTTTTCATCACTAGGGCTAAAAATGAATCTTTTTGACACGAGCTCAAATTGACCGACAGGAAAAAGCTGAGGTCGGAAAATTAGTGAGGGTTGAAAAGACACTATTTTCCCTATGATTTCTTATATAATGTTGAAGTATGACGGACCATACCACCAGTAGCTAGGGTGGAGAAAGATTTTATTACATCAATGTGACAACATTTATTTTTTCTCGGGCAATCAACTTTAATATAATATTCATGTTTTACGTATGCTGTTCTAAACGGAAAGTTACCTAAACCGGATCTACATACAACATAAATTCATAATAGCTACTTAACAGATCATGCAGAACTTTCCTCCGAAAGCCGGCTTACATGAAATCCCGAAATCCGCTTAACGTCGCTGTTCCTTATTTAGTAAAACAAAGTTAGCCGTTGTTCAGCAGTGTTTTCCTTCTGTTTGTGATCTTGAAATTTCCTCCTGTGATCAGTTGTTTACACTCATTGAGATTTGCAAACTGCATAGTATATTCTGTATAAGGAACATCAATTCGGCCTTAAAGAGTATTCCAAAAGGTTCTTGTTTTATCGAACAGTGCAAAAATGTTATAATTGTTCATTCTTGATATGCAGCCTTTTGGAAAATAGGGTTCAGGGTCTACGATTTAAAAACTGTACATCCTTCTTTTTTTTAAATTTATGTACACTATGCTAGGGTCACTATATATACACCCCTAAAATGGCTTTTAAAATGGTTTACTTTTAAAGTACGTTTTTTCTATGATGGCTCCCTCTGAATTTATTCTTTGTATAAATAAAAAGATTTTTTTCATAATTTAATATTCTTTTAAAATCATTGTTAAATATAATTTTTGTATTTATTTCAATTATTGGATTATTGTTTAGATGCTTTTATACCCTTAAGCTTTAACTATAAATTAATTCTTAGCCTCTAAATTTCATGTTCAATGCTCACGTTAGGCTAAACAATATCGTTTACAACCACAGAATCAATCTCAGGTCTTAGGAAAAGCGATTGAAAATGGTAATGTGAAGATTAGATACAATATATATATAACGTTGAGCCCAGATCATGTACATATTAATCAAAATTTAGACAAATGTTCCCTCTGAAAGGTAACATTTGTTTGAAATCGGACCAATGAAATGAAGACATAGCATTCTCAAGATACGAAATTCATTAGGCACTCTTTACAATCATAATTACATAACGGTTTATTGTACTCATCTTTCTGCCTAGTTAGTAAATCATTTTAAAAACTCAGTTTTAAGATAAAATTGATCATATTTATACCAAGTGCTGCATTGTATTTGTAGGTATTCTCGGAGGCAATGGTGTACATGAGTCTAGATGGTGAGAGGTATCAGCCAACTCCAGTCAAGTTCCACCCCTTGGTAGAACGACCCCGTGATCTGACAGCCAACATTACCATCCCCTTGCACAACAGGATCGGAAGATTCCTCAGGCTACAGCTCAGATTCTCCTCCAGATGGATCTTACTCAGCGAAGTTTCCTTCGACTCTGGTGAGTTGTTTCTGACAGCTTCGGCTCGTAATGTCAAAAAGTTTCGCCCAACTTCTGTTGAGTGGGAAGTTACAGATTCCATAAACTCTGAGGGTTATGGCACTGCAGTGTCCTTACTCTCTGTTTACAGTGTAAAATGTTATGACCCTTTTAATAAATGCTACAAAAAGGTAGTGTAAATTTATAAAATATTAAACGTAAAATGTGAAATCCTATTAAAATTGTTGTCAACATATTATTGTCATTCGACAATATCCAATCCAACCCAAATAGTAATAAGTATTAATAATCTTCAAAGCGAAGTTTTCAATCAAACTGAAAATCCAATAACCAATTAGTGGTTCTTTTCTCTTTAACTAATTATCTCACTCCAATAGAGTTTGGATTATTCCTATGGATTATTGTTTATTTAATATCACAATTTCTCTTTACATTTGTAAAAGCAATTTGTTTATTTATAATACATTATTTTGGCCAACGTTAACAAAGTTAATGCCGGGTAGTTCTCTTATGCTATCATTTTATTATTATATAATTAAAAATTAGTTTTATATTTTTAATCAGTCCTTATCTGACATCGTATATCTTTTGTTTGAATTTTAACATTTCTGGATATGATCTGAGTTATCAGCTTTATGTATCACAGCATTGATTATTTCGATATGTTTTCTATTTTCTACTCTATTTCTACAAGATAGCCTCTCATCTACAACGTACATATAATACCACTAATTAAAATCATTAGAGTACAAACCTTGCATGTGTTTTTAGCGTTCATCTTGGGCAACGTGACGGAGGAGTCGCTAGAACAGTTTTACTTGCAGCAGCAGGACAGTGTGCAAGACATAGAGCCACAGTCAGGAGTGGGGGGAGATCTGACGACGCATGCGCGGAAGGAGGTTACCCCCGCCACCAGCCCTGCTAGCAACACACAGGCGTACATCGGCCTCATCACCGGCGTGCTTGCCATGGTAGTCCTACTGGCTGCGTGCACTGTCATGATCATGGTGCGTCGTGGACGCAAGAAGGTAACCACTCTCTGAATGACGTTTGGATATTAACTAAAGGGAAGAAATCAAATTTTAGTAATTGGTTTTCATTATATACCGTATATTTTGCTTAGGACATAATTTTTACTCTGAATCAACTATTGTGATAAAATTGAATTTGTAGTCAAGTTGTTTATTAGTTGTGTATGTTTTTTGTGTTTATCGACACCATTAAAGTTTTTATTTTATTGTTGTAAGGGTTAAACCCAGCCAGTGTCCACCTTCAAATCTAAAGACTACTAATTCCAATCGGGGTCGATTCAGAACCCAGAACAAATATCTCACTAAGTAATCAATTAATGATGCGTTCTAACAGAAGGTCGATTTTGTTAAACAAGGGCGGGGTTTGAACAGTATAATTACATTAAAAGTATAAATATGTTTGTGGTGTACAAATACACACAAATAAAAATATGAAGCTAGATAGGAACAGGACTGAACATGGACTTTGCCCTATCCAGACATATAGCTTACTAAATTCGAACATGAAAACATAATAAAATACCTTTTACAATATTTGAATTTTTCAGGTTGCTCTACTTCATAAGCACACTGCCCTCGTCTCCAGCACGACCAAACCAGGGGTGACCATCAATATGAAAGATCTGAAGATGAACATGTCCACCCCCATCATCAACAACGGTGTGTCTCGGTCTAGGTTGGCCACTAAAGGCAAGACAGGGATCAAGAAGAACAGCATATACGGCCACATGGGAGGCGAAGAGAGTGAAGATAGTGAGAACTCATCTGTCTACCATGAACCGTACAAGCTATTGCCGTCAGGCAAGCAAGAATACGGCTGTCTGCTCAAGAAGGAGACCATATCCTCGAGCAAGAGTGGAGAGTATACCGGTACGTTTTCTTATGAGTTTGACAGAAAACGGTAATAGTCTTTAAGGACAACTTGTGTGTAAAAATGGAATAAATCATCCATACGGTTGGACTAGTTAAACATGTACCTTAGCTCCAAGACCTAGGTTTAAATGCTGCAGGTAAATCGTAAACAACTTCTTAGTGATTATTATTAGTTTTTTCACAACTCTCAGGAGTACAAGACGATCTGAATTTATGAAACTGCAATTCAACAGATATTAATTTCAATAAAATTGACCGTTATAGATTCTTTAGTAAAAGCAATATAATATATCTAATAATGTTTATAAGTATAACAGTAATAAGTAAAGTTAGGTTCTAATAAAATATTCATTCATTGAAAGGTTTTGTATGTTATCAGATTTATTGTCTAAAGGACATCGTTGACTTTCTATCTTTTCATAGACAGTGCTTTTGATGAGAAACTTCATACACAATTTTTAATAAATTTTTACGCACAGTAGCCTTTATATGAACAAAAGATCAATAGGTTACTTCTACAATACTGTTTACAAGACCAACACACAAAGTTGTAATGAACAGGTCTTTGTCGTTCGCTAGACTTCACCAGTGTCAACAGTTTTGCGGATGAGGTAAAGTTCTCCTCGCCCTCACTGTACAACTTGACACCCCCGCCACCACCCGCCAGCCGACCACCACCCTATGAGCTCACCACCAACTTCAACACCACCACCCTCTCCAAGTCACTCAGCCTGGGCAGTGCGCAGCAGCAACCGCTGGAGAACTACTACGCAGCCACCGACATTGTCAAGGTACTCACACTCCTATGAAGGCTAACATCTAATTATCCATTGTAAAATATGGAGACGGCACAGTAAGGTCAAGAGTTATGATCGTAAAAGGTCCGACAATACTTGGATGATGTATTTAGTTTACGATACAATACTATTGAAGGAGATTGCCCAGTGACCTTTCCTGGGTGTCTTGGGCCTGTGCACGTCAGCTTGTTTATTTTATCAAACTCATTGGTACCTTATCAAGAATTTAACTAGCTCAATTAAAAGCACTAAGATCAACACATATGACCTATTTGTCTCAAGTCCAAAGAGATATTTACACTACACATTTAATGTTTGGTTTCAGTTACCTGTTACGTTCAAACGCTCTTAGCAGCTTTGAATACGTGTCACCCATTTCAATATTGTTTGATTTCTTATGTCACGGAATACAAAATAACTTAATTCACCTTGGTTTCAAACCCATAACTATGTTTATGTTTACAAAACATATAACCCTAGGTATCCCTAGACGTGCTGGAAACTGTCCTGTATCTAATTTGTGGTTATATCATGACGAATTGTCGCGCTTGCAGACGGAGAGGAGAGAGCAGCATCTGACGACAGGCAAGTTCACTCCTATGAAGCTGCCTGAGGGCACGCCCAAAGAAAACAGCCCAATCTTAGAAATGTCCCGGCACCGTCTACGTGTCATTGAGAAGCTGGGAGAGGGACTATTTGGGATGGTAAGACTTTGATAAGCTACTTACAGTATCAAACATATTTTAGTTCGATATACATATTTTATTCGGAATATATTACGTGTTTTACCATAGGATTTGTTAATCGGTAGCTTAGTCAACTAGCGCGACGAACTTCAAACCCCAGACCTCAATGTCAACTTATCCCTTGAGAAGACTGATTCTGCATATTACTGTTGTATTGGTATGTGGTACTGCTTAAAACTTCCATAATTCTGATTCCTTTCTTTGATGCACAGAAGTTAATATCCAATATAGACGAACAAGTTCAAAGTTAAACATGACAACAAACCTCTTTATCCACAAACACCGTTGCTTGTGATTTCTTAGTCTCGACAATTTTCCATGACATTTAAACTAATTACTCATTTAATATTAATCCGTAGTCTTATTACAATTAATTTAGGACGATATATATTAGTAGCAAAGTGATAAATCCTTCAGTTAGGTTATTTATTTTTCAGATTCATTTATGTGAAAGTGATGGAGTGCCGGAGTACAACGGCGTCTCATCATATCACAAGAAGCAAGTTCTAGTCAAATCTTTGTGGAGGGGTTGTAGTGAATCGACAAAGTAAGTATCCTTAGGTTAAAGTAAATGTTTATCTTACAGTTTTTATAGACTCATGTATTATGAAGAATTACGTAATCCTGTATTCACTCAAAAAATGTACCCAAGAACTTTGTATCCATCCCCGAATAAACTAACGTCATGTATGATGTAGGAAAGAGTTCCTGAGGGAGACCGCGTGGCTGGCAAGCCTGAGGGACCCCAACCTGGTCCGGGTGGTCGGTCTCTGTAGCCAGGAAGAGCCCCTGTGTATCCTGCAGGAACATTGTGAGTTTGGAGACCTCCCTACCTTCCTACAGCTGCAGGCTGGCGCTGGAGCTCAAGACAACAATCCTGCAATTAGGTAAAGTGAAAAACTATGAATCTTCAAAGTGGATATAGCTGGTAAACATTCATGCCTACTTCAGTATCCAAACTTAATTGTTCAGTGTAGACAGCTGTAACTCAACACAGCATAACAATACCCTACAACCACCCTATCCATATGTAAGGTAATCAATAGTAAACATCATTACATTATTGCATCTCGTGGTTTACACTAATTCAGTTAACTGCTAGACAACAGGGGAGTTAACAGTGTGTTTTTTAGTTCTTCTCGACCGGTAAAATTAAAATGCATTTCCTTTTTTGCTTTTCTTTTCATTGCGCTCTTCCCTTACTGTAGGACCTACGCATTTTCTGTAAAGATTAGTTGCAAGCTTATCATACTATACCACTATTGTTTTGTATCCTAAATCTGACTATTCTTGCCCATATTGCTAATGGTAACTAACTGTTTCAGCTACGGGTGTCTCATATACCTGGCCACGCAAGTAGCTTCTGGCATGAAGTATCTAGAAGCTCTCGACATTGCCCACAGAGACTTGGCTGCCAGGTAAATACAAATAAACTTGACTGAATGTAAACCACTGCACAAGCCTTATACTTATCCACATATCCATATATTTCATCAACGATACTGGGAGCTGGAGAATATATTTATTCACGAAAAAATTCATGGTTTCTAAAAGATGTGGTTCAGTGCGTAATTTTAGCTAACCTCAACGGTTTGGATTACTTAGCACATTTTTATTCAGGGTTGGCTTTGGCATGATAACTAAGGCACGCATGTGGGATATGATTCTACGTGAGACTAATAATATTATTCAAATTTATGGATAATAACAAGTCAGCTACATCCTATTTGTTTTTCTTTGTAGGAACTGCATGGTGGGCAAGAACTACCAGCTGAAGGTGTCGGATCACGCTATGTACTGCAGCCAGTACGAGGCGGACTACTACGTTAGTGACACCAAGGCGAAGCTGCCAATCCGGTGGATGGCCTGGGAGAGCCTGCTACTGGTGAGAACCTACAAGCATCCTAAATTGATTTACAACAACCTACACCACAGCCATGAACCAAACGCCTAAAACTAACCTTTCTTGCTGTTTAAAATATAAAAATCAATCAACCTTACCCTAACCAGCAGCTGCTTTATACCAATTCGTAACTAAACCAAATTCGTAAGTACACGGAACTGTCGCAGCTGCCATTACATCCCAGACTGAAGAGAACGTACAGCATTTTTACTCCACTGGAACATCACTAAATCGACATCCTAAAAACTGTCAATCTTTTCAAAATATTAATACTATTTCTGTAGAATACAATAAGACGGAACTGTAGTCGAGTAGTTTTCTGAGTCATGAAAACTACTTTCAAATTTACAATTCATGCTAAATTCCTCATCGTATTAGAAACAACCAACTTCTGGTTCATTGACGTGGTGATTGTTACTAACTAAAGTTTGTTACAGGGGAAGCACACGCCGAAGAGTGATGTGTGGTCGTTCGCCGTCACACTGTGGGAGATCCTCATGCTGTGTGCCCAGAGGCCGTTTGCCGAGTTGACCAACGAGCAGGTAGTGGAGAACTGTAGCCACTGGTACCAAGGGAACGGTCAGCAGAGGACGGTGCCACGACCAGCCGCGTGTCCTAGGGAGATCTACGACCTGATGGGCGAGTGCTGGAAGCGGCAAGAGGAGGACAGACCGCGGTTTACCGAGATCCACCTCTTCCTACAACGCAAGAACCTCGGCTTCGTCCCCGCGATAGGATAATACCACTGTCACCACACCGCGTGTCGAACTACGTACAAATTGTTTGTTTACGTTTCCTTTCTACTCCGAGAAATAAGTAGGCCTATCTACTATTCGAAGACTTACTCACTCCGTGTCTTTCTTGAGGTGATATGTGATGGTCAGAGTGAATGGAATCGGTTTTGTAACGAGACTGTATGGGTGAATGTTTTTTAGAAACACAAATTTATTTGACTCTCGGTATTTGTGCACGAACATTTGTAAATAAGCACTTTTACTATCGAATCGACGGACCGTTTCGCGTCCGCGCGGATATTTTGTATAAAACATAAAACCTAAAAATCTATATTCGGACATCGGAATTTCTATGTAGTTCGTTACGACCCTATTTGACGTAGTTTCACCGATGACAGTGGGTATTCAGTCCGACGACAGACTGGACCGTCGTGTCGTCGGACCGGACTGTACCGTGCTCAAAATTCGTTCAGTGTTCCATTGCCGTGCAATACGGAGTGTACATACGTGTTTCTATCTTTGCCGCACACTGTATTTATATGTGACTACGAGTATTTTTTTATCTTCGGATGGTGAGCCCGATTAGTTGGATACCTCTATTTTCGTGGATCACACAATCCCGCTCTTCCTGTCTAGTTGTAAGCTGTACAATAAGAACTCGACTTACTATAGCAATCTCTGGACTGGACCGTGTGTTCGGCCCCACAACGCCTACATCTAGCTTCTAACTAAGTGATTCTAGTTTCCTATGTTTGTTAATAATTAGTTTGTTAGTAATGTTGAATGTTTAGATGAACGAGGCCACGCTTCTACGTGTATTTGCTTTTATATACTTCTTTTTACATTTTTTAAACATAGACCAATCATTTGTGAGGATCGACGGTTCTTGTTATCACTGTTACGTGTACATACATTTTAGTATTAGTCCACATATCCTCTGTTTGCATGTAGTCTGTATATATAGGGTAGTAAGGTAGTTCGGTCGGTTCTCCGGTGATATTGACTCAACGAACCTTTAGTGTTTATTATACTGGCTGGTTTCGCCGTACATTTTGTCGCGTTTCTTTTGTATGTTGTATATTTTAAGGACTAATATCATTCTAAATCGTTACACCCTTGGAAAGAAAGATAGAATTCTTCCAGTGACCAATCCTCTGTACATAATAAAATTGTTATCTATACCTTATACTTTGAAGAAGAATAAGGATCTCTTATTTCCGTAATCGTTATTAATTCTATCTAGTTTTATAGTTTATTCTATTATGTTTAGGATAACTAGAAACAGAACAGCTGTGTTAGTGATGTATGCTCGCTACAATCCTTAGATCGACTTCAAGTATATGTCACGCCTTACTAAGGGAATCCAAGAAAGCTCTTATGTTAGATGTATAGTAAATATTTGACATAAAGTTATAATACCTGCATATCATACAATCATTTATAATAATTTATCTAATACATACATATGAATAATATCTAACGATGTGTTAGTTTTGTATGATCATCCAAAAAGAATGCCTAATTTGACGAAAGGCTTTACACAGTACTATATATTTCTAAACCTTACCACATATCATAATATTTATTTAAAAACATTATTTAAACTTATTTTTTATTTCATTTTGAATTTAACAATGCTTATGTATGTTTTATTTCATTGCGTGCTAACTTGATAGTAAGACATTGTAACATCCCTAAATTATAACGAGAAACCCTTTATAGTTGAAGAGAGCAGCTTTACTCAATTATCAAGAATTGAAAATGGCTTATTTAAACATGATTTCTTCATAGAAATGTGATTCCAGTCAAGCTCCTTACATTCCTGATTACGGTTAAACTCCTTTATCCAAGCAAATCCACTTCGATTATTTTACTATCCTTTTTTTGAACATGTATAGAAAAGTATAAGGAATATTACATTATGCCAAGAAGCTCCATGTTATTTTCTTAGATTTTCTGAAGCTGGATAATAATTTTGTTCTCCATGTTATAACAGTATTATAAATTAATTAGTACAGCTGCCCTCTTCAACGACATACAGTAAGGCATACCATCACTAGTCGGCCCCGATTCTAGCTATGCTGACTCTAGGAAGCACCTCTATGGAATAACCCGAAAATCCTTTCTAGTTTATAAGCGCACACTTCTTTGCAGTTTTGTAGACTAACATGACAAGAAATGACCATTGTAAGCTTACTTTTTGGTATGGTTCAAATTAAATCTGGCTTCGTACTGATCGCTGTACCAATAAACCTTGAGGTTAATTTCACAACAGTATTCATTAATTAATTACTTCAATTTTGTTGTAAAGTCCAACTATAAATGAAATAACTTAAATTAAAATGTACAATTGATGGGTGAAAAAACACTGTGGTCGTTGGTTAAGTCTCATGAACGAAGGTTAAATAAATAATTTTGAATTTTTACTAAGCTAAACAACGAAGTACCTAAGTATTAAGTTGATAAACAGGCTCCTCATTAGTTTTATGTGAAAAAATATGGTTTACCAACATCCTTATCCGGGAGGTCATTTTTTGTCATGGCTGTTGTCTCTGAACCACTCTATTCGTTGTTAATATTAGCTAAGTCTCCTAAATTAGGTTAATATAGAACGGAGTTAAGCTGAACGAGTTTCTCCATTGCCAGTCGACAATCAGTGCGCCACGCCAGTCTGCCTCGATGCCTTCTGGATCAATTCTTCCTTCAACGCCATTTCTTGTTCGAAACTACAACTTACTCTATGACTTCCTCAGAACTATATTGCTACGAGTTCAAAAACCCTTATTAATTGCTTCCTTTCCATTACAACACATGGGGTAACAAATGGGGTTCCTTTAGTCATGGGGTAAGACTTTAGCATTAATAAAGTTTGGATGCAAAACTCGGCGTTTGACAACTATGATAGAATTAGTTTGATTTTGTGGACAGTAAAAAGTAAACAAACATTTTTTTGGACAACGTTTTTACTGAACTCGTTTTATTTTAAGTTACAAACCACGTTTAAAATAAACCAACCAGACCCTATTGAGTCCAAGGTACTTTTTTTAACTACATGCTTTAGTTTAATTTGAATTTAAAATTGTCTTTAACGAAGCCCTAGATTTAACGATGGAAATTCAATAAATGGAATTAGTAATTTATCTCTTTCAAGAAATCGTAGCAGGCATAGGCTAAATAAATGGTCAAAATAGTATTTTTAATACATCCTATACTTCCCTAATTCACGCATTTCCCATTAGCAAACCTTTTATAATTTTATTTTTATAAATATCGCATCCTTAATACTTTGCGTGGTTTAAACCTCAACTTTCTGGCCTAACTATATCTAGTTTCGTAGGGTAATCGTTAACCGGGTCCTGGTTACTGCAGGGCGCATTTCTTTCCAAAAGGCTATACACTGACTTTCAAATATGTTCACGGTTCTTAGACTTGATCATCTTGCAAGTATTGTAAATCCAACGCTTCAGCTAGTTTCTTATCTTTCGCTGAATCTGAAAGGCAAAGAGGTGGTTTAGCGTCAGTGGCGGATCGCCAGGGGTACCCAAGATAGTTCTTTTAGGTGACCTTGAGCAGCACAATGTATCTAAGTATCTTAGTTCCTCGTTCCTTTTAGTGTACTCTTAGTTCAATGTTACATGTGATGATTCTCTTTGTAATATTAATTATGTAATTATTATTAAGTATTAAAGTAAAATTTGTGATGATGGTTGTTCCAATTTCTTACGTTGGTTGTCTCCTTTTTTAGATGAAGAAATAAATGTTTCTTTTCATCACTTCTCATATTCAATTGTTTTATTTTCCTTCACCTTTATTCGTGGACTACATTTTAGGTGGAACTTAAAGGATTTTATAAGGGGCTTTTTGATTTTTTTTTTTTTAAGAGGTTGGCGGCCTCTTTTAACCTTGTATTTGCCCGTCCACATAGACTACAGATCTGTGCGTGGAACGTATCCAGCAAAGCAAGGGGTGAGCCGGTACAGTACAAAGGTGAACTGTACTGATAAAAGTTTGTGGCAGTGACCAGGATCCGAACCCACGACACTTCTGCCTTGGGCCCAAAGTCCGCGACGCTACCAACTGAGCCACCGACTCACCAATGATATTAATGAATTAATCGATGATTTCAGAAAGCCAGTAGTTAGTCTTTCTATATATTTATATAGATATAGGTATTGGTATATAGTTTTAACTTAAAATCTAAATAGATTTTAAGTTAAAACTATATACCAATACCTGTAACATCCAATTTTGACCGTACTGCTTAACCATTTTTCTTTACTAGTGTGTCATTTAAAAGCTCGTGTTCTAGCAAAGTGACGAATGATAATTTAAGGGATGTTTCCTTTAGGGCTTCGCCCCCTTATAATTATTTGATATATTTTTAGACGGTGCTTTAGTTGACTTCTTTCGTTTAAATCTCTAACCAAAGTCATATTGTAAAGAGTTTAACAAAACACTAGCTAGTTTCTTAAATGGGTTAGTCCACTTTAATTCATATTTGCACCTGATTGGAGTAGATAAATCATCACTCTTTTGGTATTGATCCACAATCGACATAATTGACATATTATAGGTTAGTAGATTTATTCACCTAAATGAACAAATACTGATGATGATATTTTATTTAATGAAACTTTTTTTCAACAAAATACACTTTAAAAGGTAAAAGTGTATTGCATCTTCAGATTTCAGATTACATAAATTTCTGACTTTCGTATTAATTAATGAATGATCTTGGAAACCTTATCATCAAAGTATAGTTCTCTAGGAATCCAAAGATATCCACTTAGCACCAATTTAACCTTTCATTATCAAGGTACTCAACTATATTGTTTCAAAAAATCTTTCACTTCAATGCGGTAAAACGTTTCAATGACCTTCCCCGACTAGCCGAACACTACCTGAGAAAATTCATTAAGTGTATTGAATCAATTTTGATAGACAAGATTTGGTAGGTCTACAGATAACGTGAATACACTGGTAGTAATAGTTAAATATTTAAATACTGCACTGCAGTTCAATTATATTAATTTGTTTATTTCATTTTGAGAAAAATGTAATTTTTAGTTAAGACTTGGGCAATGTATGATTCAGTGAACAATCCCACTTGATTCATCAGAGACGAGTCAAGAACCATTTAAAAATTAACAATTTGCGCACGGGTCCAACTTGTATTAAAATATGTTAATAATTATTTCTTGTGGTCCCAAACATTGATAAAATTATCATCACCTTCTCTTAGATCTAGTTATACGAACATAGTTAAACAATACGACAGACAACATTGATACATATGGCGCAGTCTGGGACTTATAAACTACTACTTTAGGCTGTAGTCCAATCAAAAATATGTGAAGACGATTGAATTGTGGCAAAACCGGTATTCACAATTTACATTTTTTACTTACCAAAATCAATGTCATTAATTGTTGTTAGAAACCATAATTCGTCGATTACACTTAGTCCAGTTGCAAAACTTCTCTATATCGATACCTTTTGTCGGAAGGTACTTCACCCACTCGGCTATCCGGGCGAATTATTTAATAATAGGTACATTAGTTTGAGAATTAATACAAGAATAGTATGATTCAACCAGCATACTGTGGTGGATCTCGGCTTTAAAGTGGCAAAAGCGAAATCCTAACTATTTTCTTTCCCAGGCTTAGCGGACGGTGCCATCACAAATATTTTTGTTTAATAATGAATGCTGCATAACATCTGTGTGAAAGTAAAAATCAAAATCTCTTTACCATACCACCAACAAAACGGATCCATTATCATACTAAAAATAGTTTTTGTATTTTTGTATAAGTTACATTTTTACGAGCACTAGATACTTAAATGAATTATAATTTAATACAGCTTGTACAACTTATTTCATGTTTTCGACGGCAAACGAACAAGTCCATCAACAAGTCTTAACTTTAAAATTAATCAGGAAAATTAGTTGTGGTGAGTTTTACTGCTGTTCCAAACACAAACCCGCAAGTTTACTTAATTAATCAAAGTTTGAACTTTGGTCTAGCGTTAGTCAGCGATCTCCTGCGGTGCCAGACCACGACACTGTGACACAACTGTTTCCTTCATTAATTACATCTGTTAGATTCTCAATACTCAATTAACTAGGAGTCCTTACTTAAAAGCTGTCAGTTCTATTAAAAAACTCTTTGGGGTCTTTTTAGGATAAGGAGTTGAGTGGAAGATGAGTCAAAATGGAAAGCTATATTAATTAATGGTTCAGGCGAGAATTCGTTTAGATTTTATGAACATTTTTTTTTTTTTTTTTTTTTTTAGGGAGAGGAGGGAAAATGCTTTTACGCACACAGGTAGCCAGCCTGTAGTGTGAGACTCCTGAAAATTATCAGACTACTCACTAAAAAACCCCCTCTACTCTGTTGGACACAGACCTGGAATTGTTTGTCACATTACTTCAAGTCTGGCCAACATGTGACCTAAGCCCTCAGGGCTCGCACCGTTTCTGGCATTTAGATTCTTAATGACCTACACCGCATCCCGGTCAAGGTCGATCTTCTTGGCGCGGAGAATACCCTGGATATAATGTGACACACAGGTCCAATTGTCCTCACCCTCCGTCATAATCGGTATGACCGGGTCCACCGACAGCAGTCCTATTAATTGTTGAGCCTCCAGGCGGGGCCTTTCCCAGCGCTGGCAGTGGAAAAATGTATGTTCCACGTCATCGAGAATGCCTGGGCAGTATATGCAGTCGGGTGACACGGCTTTGCCCATCCTGAACAGGTACGACCGGAAAAAACCGTGTCCCGTCAGAAATTGGGTGAGGTAGAAGTCCACCTCTCCGTACCGCCGATCAACCCAAGGTTGGACTTGCTGTATCAGTCGCCTGGTCCAAAGTCCCCGTGTCTCCTGTTCCCAGCCCTCCTGCCACAGCTGGTAGGTGCGGGTGCGTTCCTCTGTTCGTGCCTCGTCCTCCCCACGGCGCCGGTAAATTGCCTTTCTCTCCGCCGCCAAAAGTTTGACGGGGATGACTCCAGCAATCACCAGGACGGCGGGCTCGGACACTGTTCGGTAGGCAGATGCTACCCTCAGTGCTGCCTGACGCTGCACTCGGGCGAGCCGCATCCTGTATGCCTCCTTATTTAGTGCGTCTGCCCACACCTCAGCACCGTACAAGAGTATGGCTGTCAGTTCTATTAAAAAACTCTTTGGGGTCTTTTTAGGATAAGGAGTTGAGTGGAAGATGAGTCAAAATGGAAAGCTATATTAATTAATGGTTCAGGCGAGAATTCGTTTAGATTGTATGAACAGTAATGGTGAGGTAGATGTAAGTACATAGCTCAAATATTTTTCATGAATTCGATTTTTAAATATAATCCTCTTTATATTGGCAAAATATTTGACTCAAATCGCTCTTTACTAATTGGGATGAAGCTATGTACTATTTATAAATGTATGATTTATTATGTATGATTTATAAATAAATAAATAAAAATGTCTTTATTTCCGAGCGTCTCAGGTCAAATACTAACTAAAAATACAATACTACTATAATAAAAGACATCGTGTGATATAATAAAAATATTAAACATATATACAACTATTTTACGATATTAATAAGTTTTTTTAAGTTTCTTTTAAAAGCCAGGACCCCCAGCTGTTAAAGGCCTTTTCACACCGGCGTACTGGACGTACTGTACGTTTGGTACGTTTTTTTTTTCAACAAATCGCTGTCCATGTTATCATATGGGCTCGTTCACACCGCGCGTACAGAACGTACTGTACGTACAGTACGTACGCGATGGTTTTGTGAGAATCGCTCGGAGAGCGATTTTTCTAAATCGTACGAGGCGTACGCGAGCTCGCGCATGTGCAGTGGTCACACCAAAACCACGTGCTCAGCCAGTGTTACTTGTCTGACTGCAAACGAACAAGTGTACGTTTTGGAAGTTTCTGTGCGGTGTGAAAGGACCGCGTACTGTACGAACTGGCCGTACCAAACGTACAGTACGTCCAGTACGCCGGTGTGAAAAGGCCTTAAGGTCCAAGGGGAGATCATTGTAAATCTTTAGGCCAAAGTATGAAAACCCTTTCCTACCCACTTCCAGGCGCACTTTTTGAAAGTGGAGCAAGGTGTTGTGCCGGGTCTCGCGTTGCGTCACCTTACTGGTGGCATTCAAAGCTTTACAGTAGGCCTAGACGTTATGTTCCAAAATTGTATATATTATAAGTGATGCGCCCGACGTCAAATTGTACAACTTCAAACGAGTTATGAGCTTAATTAAAATCTAAAATGTTTAAAGTATTTACCAAGTATGTTCTTGTATGGACTTATAAAAGAAAAGAGGCTAAGAAAGATATAAAGAAAGTTTTCTTTTTATTTTGTATCATTATTTACCATGCGCTACCAGTAAAAACTTATTAAAAACACTTTTCTACTAGATAGGTTCACCATGGATTCAGATTCGCTATAACAAGTCTCTCGTGGGGATGACAAAATATGACTAGTTATCAAGATTGACTCCTCATAGATGTTTACAATCACATGTAACCAAGGGTATAATGTAATTCGAGGGTTTTTGAAAATGTAAATTGTTATCAAGGACCAATTGTTATTGAAGTTCTTCATACGAGATTCAATTGAATGTAGTAAACACAACAATTATATCATGGAGGCATTTGTAGAAATTCTACCTGTCTCACAATTACTTTAAGGGATGTGACACCACATAACTTAGTGGTTCGGTGCCTAATCTATGTACGATATTGTATCCCTAAACTTAAAATCACATGCCAGAAAGGTATT